AGACGTAGGTTTGCAAGGCATTTTTTCCCCGGTGTTTTTCTGTCAATTTCTTGTATTTTCCCCTCTTATGAACAACAACTTTTGGCACACGATAAAAACTCCTCGTGGTTTGATCGATTTGAGCAACCATAAACGATGCAAAACATAGGCATTTTGAGTGTGTTATAGTGCTTCCTAAATATAGAAATTCACTTCCTGCCCTCCATCTGCATTTCGCGCCATGGCAGCGCAGTGGCATGACGTCACGTGAAAACAAGCTATTCTTAATGTGCATGTGCCATCAGCGTTTATCACAGGATCGCGTTTAAAGTCTGTTTAGAGAGAAATTAGGGGTGTCGTCCCCTAATTTAATAACAAATTATCATTTTGACAGAAGTGAATCAATCAAAACTTTAGCTGGAAATAGCCTAAGATTATTCACGAACCGCTATAAAGCCAAAACAATCTTTGTTACATTAAATTATATGCAATTATGCGTAGCCTATCTATGTAAAGTTGCTTTGAAACAATCTAAATTGTTAAAAGCGATTATATTACGTTACAGTCTCCACTATGTATTGGACCATCCAGCTACGTCATCGTGCTACAGGCTGCAGCGAGGGGTGTCTCTGAAAAGGGCTGCTTTGCTGCTGCATTGCTGCTGCATTGCTGCTGCTGCTGCATTGCTGCTGCTGCTGGTGCTGCTGATTCTGCTGCTGCTGGGGCTGCTGACGCTGGGGCTGCTGCTGCTGCTGTTGCTGCTGGGGCTGCTGCTGCTGGGGCTGCTGCTGCTGGTGCTGCGCGCGGAGGAGGCGGCGGGTCAGGTGCGGATGGAGATGCAAGCGCCAGGCGAAGTTTCAAGTGGACCTGGTGATTGGATGAGAGCAGTTGATGAGAGGAGTTGATTTATATGCTGGTTGTGGTTATATAGTACAATCCTAACAATATGAATAGAAAAAAGAATGAAAAAATTTCATTCAGTCTATTGGCTGTACAGCTGCAGAGAACTTGACCAATGTAACCTGTCAAGTTCTCTGCAGCTGTACAGCCAATAGACTGAATGAAATTTTTTTCATTCTTTTTTTTTTTCTATTCATATTGTTAGGATTGTACTATATAACCATAACCAGCATATAAATGAGGATATTAATAATGAACAATCTTTGAAATCGTATACCCTAGCTTTAATATATACATTTAAAATATTTTTTTATAATATTAATATACAAAAATATGCATTTATATTATTATATACATTCATTTTTTTAAATAATATAAATATTGTAATTCATTTGATCTACCCTTAAATAAAATAGTTTTTGGACAACATTTTGACCCATCCCTATTTGTCTGAGGTTAAGCTCCAATTGGACACATTGTTGTAGGGGTTGTTGTAATATATCGAGAAAACACACATTGTTGTGTCATTGTTGTGTGATAGATAGATAGATAGATCTATCTATCTATCTATCTATCTATCTATCTATCTATCTATCTATCTATCTATCTATCTATCTATCTATCTGCCAGTGTTGGGGAGTAGTTAACTACAAGTAGCGAAGCTACTAACTTAACTACATTTTTCAGTAGCTTGGCAGTAGCTCAGTTGCTTTTTAAACAGTGTAGCTTTTCCAGTAGCTAAACTACTTTTTGCAGCAAGTAGCGGTGTAGCGCGAGCAAAAGCTACATTGCTACATTGTCAAGCCTGCGCGAATCAGCCCGATGCAAGGATATATTTTTCATCTTGTTAGATCACAAACTCATTTTTTGCCATTACCGCCACCTGTTGTTTAATCACGCATCTTGCGGCTAACGGTTCACTGACGTAAAGAAGTGGGTTGACAGTGACACACCCAGGTGACGGCAGATTTGAGACACCCCTCGCTGCAGTCTGTAGAACGATGACGTAGCTGGATGGTCCAATACGTAGTGGATGGATGTGTGTTTTGGTGACGTCATTTACGCATGCGCAGTGCCGATCTCTGATTATAATTCGAATGCATTGGTTAAGTGATATGTAAGCTCAATATTGTACTGAGATGATGTTCAAACTGTGTAGTATAATACTGTTAAATAATTATAAGTAATTATTGATGAATAAGTAAGGAAAATGCTAAAATAATAACAGCATGGGGAAAATAAATCTTGTAATAATAAACTCGCATTTATGTTATACATTCAGAATTGCGAGAAAAAAGGTCAGAATTCTGACTTTATAGCACACAATTGCGACTTTATTTCACGCAATTCTGTCTTTATAACAAGCGATTGAGGCTTTATTTCACCTAATTCTGTCTTTATAAGATGCGATTGAGGCTTTATTTCAAGCAATTATGTCTTTATGACATGCGATTGAGGCTTTATTTCAAGCAATTATGTCTTTATAACATGCGATTGAGGCTTTATTTCACGCAATTCTGACTTTATATCTCACAATTCTGAGAAATAAAGTCTGCGAAAAGTATACTCGCAATTGTAAGGAAAAAGTCGCAATTATTAAAAAAAAAAAAGCTCTGAAAATAAGAGCTTCGCTCGTGAAATGTATTCTTGGAAGATCAACGATTGTTCACCAACTCTCTAACTAGGCCTATGAATTCTTAATGTGCAAGTGCCATCAGCGTTTATCACAGGATCGCGTTTAAAGTCTGTTTAGAGAGAACGGTGTCATCCCCTAATTTAATAACAAATTATCATTTCGACAGAATCAAAACTAACTAGCTGTAAAATAACATCACGAACCGCTATAAAGCAAAAACAATCTGTTACATTAAATTAAAGCTGCTTTGAAACAATCTAAATTGTTAAAAGCGATATATAAATCAAGATGACTTGACTTGACTAGTGCGCATGCGCGCGTTACAGGGTCCAACACGTATTGGACCGTCCAGCTACGTCATCGTGCTACAGACTGCAGCGAGGACCTCTTGGCAGATTTTGAGGATGGAGAAACAAACGTTAATTACCCATGGTCTTATTTGTCCAAGTTCAATCGTTATTTTTGAGAAAATGTTCTAAATGCAATTTACGTTAAATGTATTTCGTTCTTGCAATGTTGTAGGCTATTTGTTGCAATTTTGCACTTTTGACAAACAGTCTGAGATATTTGAGTGTTGTGTGTAATAAAACAATACTCTTTGAAATCATAATTGTATTACATTGTTTTAAACACTAAATATTTGAATTGCATTCATCAGACACTTATTCAGTTATTTATAATATATAATTTACAACATCTTGTAATAATAATAGGTAATATAATATTTATAATATGTTGTTCAATAAGTAAAAGTACTTTCAATGTAGCTAGCTACTTTTTGATAGTAACTTGTAGTGTAGCTAACTACTTTTCCAAAAGGGTAGCTTGACTGTAGTTTAACTACTTTAACGTACGAGTAGCTTGTAGGTTAGCTTGTCAAACTACAGTTTCAGAGTAGCTTCCCCAACACTGCTATCAGCATCATCTTTTAAACATCATTAAACATTCAAATGTATGCATTACATTTGAAAAGATTAGAGGATTACAATAAAAGCTAATACAGATTTTTCGTTATCAAAGTTTATAGTTGTAACAAAAATCAGAAATCTCACCCTCCTTACCGTTTTATATAATAATTTCCTTTTCCTCAGTCGAGCGATTACTCTCATCTAACCGCTGAAAAGACGTTTTTCGACGAAAAGACAGGGGCACGCTGTTTCGTGAGAAATTTTCATTTTTAAATGCCTTAATTCGGGAATTCGTAATTAGCGCGTGTGCAATGTGCTATGTGTAGCTAACCCTCGTGTGCAATGCGCGTGACGTCTGCAGACTCTGCACGTGTCTTGCGGAAGAACACTGTAGCCGGAGCTAACTTCTCTCCATTAACGTCAATGGCGAGTCACGCAGGCACTGGGCAACTCCGCATCTGAGTCGGTAAAATAGTGCGAATATAAACACTTATTATAGGCGTACCGTAGTGATTCAGGATAAGTCAAAAACATGGTTTGGAAAATGAATTCATAATGTTTATACACCAAGGATGACTTGAGGGTTCACGTTGAACATAAGTTACGGACTGCAGCAGACAACGGCGTTAATTCTGGTGCGAGCGTCCACTCGCATATGCAACCACATAAAATTTTAACTCGCACATTCTCAAAAAATGGTCGCAGTCTGGAACTTTTTTTTTACACTATTTACAATGTAAAAAGACAGGAATTAGACCACGTAATCATTCGGTCGATTGTGGCGCGCACCGATAATAAAAAAATGACTGTAACGTTACACGGCAGACTAGAAAACAACTTCTTTTTTCGTTTTTCTGAAAAACGAAAAAACGAAATTATGACTTGATATTTGGTTCCGTTCTTGCACACGCACAGAAATCAGAAAAACCACTAGATATTCGAATTTTCCCCTGTGGGTGGGGCTACATCTGTACGTTTTGATAGTTTGTTTTCCAGTTTGAAACGAAATAAGCAGAAACGAGAAAACGGCTCGTTTATTTGTTTTTTTTTCGTTTTTTCAAAAAAAAAAGAAAAACGAGATTTCGGCTTGATTTTTCGTTTTTTAGTTCAAAGACAAAAAAACGAATAAATGACTTCAAAATTCGTTTTCTACACGTGGGCGGCCCTGAAACGCCCCCTTCCGCCGATTGGTCATGCAAATCTGAGCATGTGACGTCATGCCGTTGCTCCGGTCTGTTCAACAAAATAATAGTCCTAAAAAATAAAATAAAAAATAGTCCTCTATATGGTTACCGATTCTTAAACTGTACAGGGCAGGTCATATTGGGCTTTCTTCTGTGCAACTTAACGCGTTTCACAGAAATCTTTTGATTTGCTTTACCAATCGGCGGAAGGGGGCGTTTCAGGACCGCCCACGTGTAGAAAACGAATTTAAGTCATTTATTAGTTTTTTTGTCTTTGAACTAAAAAACGAATAAACGAGCCATTTTCTCGTTCTCTTACGAGAGGTTCTCTCGTATTGCGTAAGTATAACTTGTATAATAATATATTATAATGTATATAGGTTGTGCAAATTATTTTGTTTGTCCGAACTAGTATTTTGCTAGTTCAGTTCACAATGTAGCTAGCACGCTATAGTGGTTAATATTGGTTCTCTTTGATCACTGCAGCAAGCTTTATGGAAAAGAACATGTGACATACAAAATGCCTGGATTGGTTTGGTGCACCTCCTCAGAAAAGATGCCTAAAAGTATGGTGTCCTTGATAACATATCATGCTTCCCATTTGAAAACTTCCTTGGCATGGGTGTCTTAATAAACAATAGATAGTCATCGCTCAGTTATTGGCCCTTGGACTCCCCCGGCACCTCTTGTACAGCATTAAGTTTTCTGCTATGAAGGTATATTCTAGGCATATGTCTTAGTGTCCATCGTTTTAAGTTAAAACTTTTAACAGTATTGAAAACAGTCCCTTTAGTTGTATTTATTTATTTATTTATTTTTTTGCAGATTTACAGAGACTCCAGAATGAAAAACAAACCCTAAGGGAAAGCAATGCACCAACAGGTGAGAATATGCACTCTTTCTTAAATTTAACTTTTTGTGTGTGATGTAGGTCCAAAATTACCATATGCCTTTCATTTTGTAGCGTCAGATGACAGCGGCTCACTTTAAGAGCAGGCGAAGCAAGTTGGGATAATGTTGAAGATGTTTGCTCACACTGGGCAATCAGGTACAACTTGCAAACAACTTAAGCGTTGGTTGTTGGTTTAATTCCCAACGGGGCCCATCTGCACATGTAGTAGACCTAGATATAACTCATAGTTTAGTAGTTGAGGGACCCGGACTGACTACTTTATTCTTTTATTCTGGGAACCCCTGTAGGTGCAGACGTCTTGGAGAGTTTGGGTGATGTTGTGCGCAGCATGGACAACAAAATGGACTCTATGCTGCATCATTTTGAGTTTTCCCTGCCAGGGGATCTGTTACTCCCACTAGACACCCAGGAAGATTTGGCATTACTTGACAACAGTATGAGGCAGGATAAAGAGCTCCATGTACAATTTGTAAGTGTTCTGATTTTGTTTATATCGCAATAGTGTAAAAAAAAGTTTTTTTTTTTCTTTCTAAAAAGTAAAATTAAGATTGTACACAGCATATTCTACAGTATGAATCCACACCCTCTTACATTTTAAATTTATGAGAAGCTTCAGATAAATGTAATTTGTTAAACTTTTTTTTCAGGGACCTAAAGACAACCGTGTGGCGAATGCTTCAGAGTATCTTCTCTAATCACCGTTCCATCAATATAACCTGGTCTGGTGTAGGTGATAAAGCATGTTTTAGAGACATGTTCCTGAAGACCATTGTTCAAAGTAAGTTGGATATATATATATATATTTTTATATTTAAGTAGATGTGTATGACTTTATGCCTTTCAAATGGAATGACAGATCTTTATTTTCTACAGGAGCCATCCGAAAGAACCCGGCGACCCAGGATGCCACTGATGAGGCGATCCAGGTTAACATTACACATCACCTGAAAGGAGCATCTGACTGTGCAGGTGGAAAAAGGCACCGCTGAGTGGGACCCACAGCCGACCCCTTAAACCTAGGCTGACTACTGACACCCCAGCATCACTTGACAACTGGAAGCCTTTTTTTATCCTGCAGACAGTAACTTCAAGACATCTAAAAAAGGCTTGTTACAGTGCTTAACTCTTCTATTTAAATATAGCTTGTAAATCCTAGATTATACATCTAATACTTGATTTCTGCACATTATCTGGTATCAAATATTCTACTTGCCGTGACTTTAGTATTGGCTTATTTCATTTCGTCAGTGCTTAACGATTCTACATGCTCTATGCACGAACCCTGCTGACGTATGTCCGAAAGAATCTCAGCCAGCTTCTTTACTTCCACAAGCGCATTCTGCAGGCAAAGTATATAGCGGCAAAACTTTAATAAAATTCATTTTCTTTCACTTTTCAATTCCTCACAGTGTTGTTAACATCATTATCGTTAACCGCAAGAATTTTTTGTAAACAGTGAGTGTAACTTGCCACTATCTCCACCTAATGCAAAACCGGCTTCTGACGCAGCACCGGATGTAACTGGGCGTCCTGAGACAAACCCGGAAGCGATCGTGCATAGAGCCTGTTATAGTTTGCAAATCCTGTTTCATGCCTGATATTTGATATTGCACATTAACTAGTACCAAAATTCGACTTCAATTCCATCAGTGTGCTTAACTTATTCAATTAAAAATAGCTTGGAATACTAGGCTATTTCATACCTCTGATACTTGAAATTGCACATTACCTGGTACCAAATATTCTACTTCATCCTTCACTTTCTTTGGTACCAAATATCCTCATTACTTGTGTTTACTGGTAATTCTTTTCATCCCAGAGCTGAACTCTTTATGTTATTAGCAAGTATTGTAAGTGTTTTATATATATATATATATATATACACACACACAGTGTTTTTTTAACTAAAAATGTATTGGAAAGCTGTGTGTATTTGTATTTTTCTGTTATATTTCAGCGATCTGACATTGTTTAATGACAGTTAGTACTGTACTTTCAAATGTGGAAATAAAATGTCAAATGAAAATTTGTCTGGTTTGAGCAATCATTATTCTTGATAAACTGCATGCTGTAAATATTAAATTAAATAAATAAATATATAGTGCAATAAGCGGCGGGCCGCGGTCAGCGCGCTCGAAAAAAAGCGTTTGCCTCCGACGGGCCGCTGAAGGTCCGCCTTTGGTATAATGGCGGTGGAACGGCGGCTGGCCGACGGGCCGTCCGCGGAACGAAGGCGGTAGGAAGGTCCGCCGTCAAACGTGTTTGCGATTACGTCTTTCTGACGCTTCTACTGCCTCCGGAGCGCCGCCGGCGACCCGCCGACTCATTGCTATCTGGGAAACCACTCGTATCATTGTGTTACAAGTTGTCATCACAAGTTATTCCAGATGATGCTCTCTCTATAAGTATTGTGTGGCGCCTGACACAAATCTTGACTCAATAAACATCAGTGTTTTAACATCACTTACTCTGGATTGAATCCGGTTTTCTATTGCAGTCATTTGCAGATGAAGCGTAAACAACTCTTTCTCCCAGGTGTCTCATACATTACTGATAGGATAGCAAAGTTGTCATGATGACATGTAGGCATTTGTTGGCAGCCGTTATCCAATAGCAGGACGTGTTTCCCGAGCCACTCTCCCCGCTCCTCCTCTAATCCCGCCCCCTGAGTGGGCTGGAGGCTGCAGTTGTCATGGAAATGTAAGAACTCCCTCAGCTCCAGATTCGGTTACCATGGAAATGCCGCTCGGAGATGCTGCGATAGGTCCTCATGAGAAGCGGGAGATTATTCAGCACCATGGACAGCAGCGGTGTGTCGGTCCTCCTTTCTGCCAGACGCGACACTACATTCTCATTGTGATCGGAGAAATTTCAACTGATCACCAGCTAGATTCAGTAAAAGAACACATTAAACGGGGTGAGTCTACAACTTTGAGCTTTTCTATTACCTATGGGTCCGCATGAAGAGTTCAATAGTCACACATAGACCATTACACTTTTTTTTTTGTTGATTATTTTAATGGTTAAAGAATGTAAAAATGCTGGTAAAAACCTGTTAATGGGTTAAAAGTACGTTTCCTTAAATCCACTATATCCTTATATCCTATACAGTGATATAACTAACTTTACATTTAATGCAATTTTACAGTAAAATCCTGTTAAATTAGTTTGTTGTAATGTGTAATTTGTAAATTGACATTCCCTAAAACATTGACAAAGCTCTTCATAATTTGGCTTCTCAGATCTTGTTCATTGTTAGACTCCTTCCCGTTCGTTAAGATCATTCTCAGAAGAATTATTGGCTGTGCCAAATTTTAAGTTAATATTTGGTGGTATGGGCTTTCAGTTGTGCAGCGCCAAAATTATGGTATTCTTTATCATTGCTCATTCGCCAGTTAAATTTCCCATTTTAAAGCTCAGATTAAAACGTATCTGTTTAGAATGAGCTTTTAGTGATTTGATTGTTTGATTCGTTCATTGTTCATTCGTTCATTGATCTGTTTGCCTGTTTGTTTGCATAGCTTTGTATTTTACTGATTTACTTTTATGTTGTATGGTGTCCCTGAGGGCCTTTAAATAAAAGGTATAGCCTACTATTATTATTATTACATTTTATGTATTTTCTTTTCCTTTTTTTTGTCTTATCAGTATTATATTATATCTAATGTTGTTAAACTTATGTTTATTGCATTATTTTGGTGCTACCATTATGGTGTTCAGTGTTTGTGTGAATCACACTGAGCAGCTTCTTTATTAGCACTTCCTCATCTTATGGAAAAAGTGCTAGTGATTCATCATGTGACTTTCACATCCATTACCAGAGGTTTTAGTGTATTACAAAGGTACAAAACAGACATTGGTACTGTTATACTTTAGTACTGTTAGTCATTAGTATTATAATGTTGGTAGATTAACATTATTGCTAATCTACACCATACTATAATACGCTATAATGTCATTAGTATTATTATACTGTATATATTAGTACTGTTAGACATTCGTATTAGTATAATGTTGGTAGATTAACACTATATCAGTTAATGAAATACCTTTTAAATTTAGATCAAATCTGTACAACCTTATTCTTTACAATAAATGTACACATCTTGCTACCATATTTCTACAATAAATTTATGGCAACCACAGCTGCTGTTTTTTTTTTTACTGTAAATTTCACTGATTGTTTTACTATGTACAAAGACATGTATGCATATCAGAAGATATCATTGTGTATTTTTACAAGTCATATCAATGATAAATTTGAAATCTCTGTATAATATTGGATATGTAGGATTGTAGATTTTTTATCAGTTTGTTGTGTTGATTTAATAAATGTGCATTAACAGGGATTCTGTCGTGGGACATTGATTTGACCATTTGTGACTTGAACAAGGAACTGAAGCTCTTTGAAGCAAGACACTCTGCCCACTTCTCGTCAGAGGTGAAAGGTCAGTTATTAAAGTTTCAGAAAGATGATGTATGAGCTTTTAAAAAAAATATTATGGGGGAAAAAATCGGGGGTTGGTGCTTCAAAAAAGTAATTGTATTATTTCAACAAACAGCATGTAATTTCAGATAACCATTTGTTTTATTATTATTTTTTATATAGCTTGTTTGTTTTGAAATCATACAAAACATGGAGGAAGATTAGATTGCATTGATGTAAGGCCCTGCCAAACTCTCCGGAGCTCTCACAGCCAATGAAATGGCTGCATTCTGTCATTCTGTTATTGCACCTCGTTTAATTCCCTCATAAATATTCTCCTTTCAGTTCAGCGTGGCTCTGTTTGCAGGATTGACATATGTAAATTGTTCAGCTGAGTACATGCATTTTGGAGTGTGTGAAGGATGGTTTTTGCATATGTTATCTGTTCTTGTGCTTCAAGGATGTTCATAATTCAGAATTAAGCAAGACTGAGATCCACATGTCGCCAGTTAGTTTTTATATCTCTTCTCCACCAATGAATATTGTTCCACTAGAATCAAAAGCGTAAAGCTTAGCAGAGACACATTATAGTGCACACCCAGTCCCAGGACAGCAGGACAACTTGTTGTTTCACTTTAAATAGTATGCTCAACTTGTGTATTTTATTACAGGCTCTGTAATATTTGGACTTGAGTTTTATGTATATATATATTAGGGCTGTCAAACGATTAATCACGATTAATCGCATCCAAAATAAAAGATTGTGTTTACACAAAATATGTGGGTGCACTGTGTATAATTATTTTATATAAATACACACACATGCATGTATATTTTTTAGAAAAAAATATTATTTATATATAAAATATTTATATATAATATAAATTATATATAAATCTATATACATTATATACGTGAAAATATTTCTTAAATATATACAAGCATGTGTGTGTATTTATATATATATATATATATATATATATATAAAATAATAATACGCAGTGCCCCCACATATATTATGTAAACACAAACTTTTATTTTGGATGCGATTAATTGCGATCGTTTGATAGCCCTAATATATATATATATATATATATATATGTGTGTTTGTGTGTGTGTGTGTGTGTGTGTGTATAAAATAGTATGTGGTTAACTACAAAAAAAACATTATGTATCTATTATAAAGCACATAACGTTTGTTATTTTCTGTCTGTATTTAAAGTGTTGGCATTTCTGAGCAGCACAGCTGATAACATCATGCTATGCTGCACACTGCAACCATCAGCAGATATGAAGCTAAAGAGGATAAAGCATTAAATCTAAATTTACTTCCTCTGCGACGTGGCATACCAGCACCCACACACATAATTGCAAGCACATAATTGCATGGTCACTCTAATCACTCCTTGTTTTGTCACCTAATATTTTCCTTTCTTAATCTTTCTTAATCTCTCCATTCTGGGATGACTGCAATCTAAATTCTCTGTTAGCCTGCCTCCAACCATATGGTTCCTCAAATGTGACTGCTGACTCGCTATCTATCGCTGCATGAATTAATCATCAGTGTTCAATTAATCATCCTTCTTTATGTATTGATGATGCTATCTTATATAATATATCTTCCAAATGATTTCCTCCTCATTCTATTCACTAGAGAAGCAGTCCATGCGAGTCCCTAATATCGGTGTATAGTGACGTCTATAATGGGCTTATGGGTGTAGATCAGAATGCTTGCATGTGGGATGCTTTAACCATTTCAGCGCCATGCATGCTGGGGTTAAAATGCAAGAGAATCTGGGGATTGTAAGCTGTCTTTTATCCAGTTGCGTTTAAAGACATCAATAAGGTGGGAAAAAAGAAAAGAGTTTAAGAATTGTATGAAACTCCAAATAGAAGACAAGGAGACTCGGATGTGTCTTCAGCAGGATTCTTTATTGAGAACGAGCTATTGAAAGCTGCAGTCATCAAGTCTGAATAAAGGAGCTGTACGTTATACTTTATAGGCTTTTGATGGGCAATCCTTAAAGGTGTGGTCCTGTTTACACACAGCCTTAGAAGTAACCACTAAAACAAAAGCATCTAAAGACAATGCAACTGGCTATGATCGAATAATATCAAAGAGAAGGATACACCCAACCTTAGAAGTGACCACTAAAACAAAAAAATGTAAAGAAAAATACAGAAAATTACCCCTGGTCGTGAAACTCCTATCTCAAAGAATTCAAACAACAGGATCAACGGGTTTCACAACATTATTAAAGGATTTGAGCACCATCTGGTTTCAAGAACTGATAAAAATCAATATCACTTATACAGTTGACTCCCATCAAAAAGAGAGAACTTGGTTAGAAGAGAAGACACAAATGGTTAATTGTTATTACAGTGTCTTTTAAAATTATATTCCCACAGAACCAAATGCTTGATATGGTTCAAGGGCAGCTTTACTCAAAGAGTACTGTTATACTAAAACCATAAAACAAATGTTACTTGTCCCCAGTTTCATAGACAAGGCTGAAGCCTGTCCCAGACTAAAATGCATGTTTGAGCTGTTTTAACTGAAAGCAACTTGTAGTTGTAAAAAATAAATCGTGATTTTAACAGTAAAAGACCGTAAAAATGCTACAGTGCAAAACTGTTAATTGGTTAACAGAAAGTTTCCGTACTATATACGGTAAATAACTGTGGTATAATTTTACAGTAAAATACCGTTACATTTACAGTTTTTGAAAGTGAAAAAGAACAGCCAATTGTATAATTCACAGTGAAAAAACGTAAATTGACATTTCCACGATTTCCTGTGTGACACTTCACATTTTATGTTTTTTTGTTGAAATAACTATGGTTCTCATAGTTTTATTTTTTTTTTTCTAATCAGTTATGTACATTAGGGTTTTATGTTACATTTAATGTTGTTAAATTAATGTTTATAGCATTTTTTTTTATTTCATGTGTGTAGCCATGATAGTGTTTAATGTTTGTGTGAATGACATGCAGTATTAACCTTCTAATGGAAGACTACTTGATTGCTCATGTAACTCATCACTGTGATGATTGTTGTTTGTCAGTGTATTACAGATATCAATTTGTCAAAAGGTTGGTAAATCAACATTTTATCAGAAAATGAAATACAGTATATTACTGTAAATTTTAAGTTAAGTCTGTAATACCATTAACGTTCCTACCGTATTACCACTTTTATAAGCTTTTAAGCTGTTTTTTTACCATAAAAATTACGGTTTTATTTTTTACATTATATCAGTGCCATCATTTTCTCTCAAGATGCACATCATGCTACTTAAACTCCCTAATTAAACTAAGGCCTAATTCTGGCTCAATCTAAACCCTGTCTGTGAAACCGGGCCTTTATGTATACTGAAATAACTAATTAAAATAAAAGCCTATAGACTTTTTTATTTACTAAAAATGGCAAAATTACTAAAACTTGAATTAAAATTAACATGCGAAATACAAAAATAAGAGCTGTTTCAAAATATTAATATCTCGATGCTAAAATGACACTGCTGATAAAATACATTTTACTAACAGTGGCCTATTAAGTTATTGTTAAGACAAGCTTTGTTTTAATGATTTCCCCAAGCCATGTGAGGGGGAAAAGCTATTCTGCTGTGTGCACTCAAGTGAAAGATGCAATTAGCAGTCTGAATAAGGGCAGGACATAAAGTCATATAATGCTCCATCACTACTGAGGGACAAAAATGCTTTGAAGCCAGAAAGGCTTTTTCTCACTCTCAAGGGCAGACTTTGTAGAGAGCCAGCAAAGTGCAAATCTACTGATCTCTATGGTCCGTCAACCTCAAAAGACCAGTTCAAACAGTATTTGGGGCCAAGGAAACTTAGTAGGGCCAAACTTGGGCATTAGACATGAATCAGTGTTGCTACAAGTCTGAATGAACTAAGCACATTGAGAAAGCTCTACCCCATGGGGTACATGAATCAATTGCATTATTTAGATAATATTTTGAATATATTCAGGGTTTTTTGTTGTATTTTTGTCATTGTGTTTATGTTTTTTTATATAGCCTACTTTAACTTTTCTTTTTAGTACTTCAATTTAAACTTATTTCAAACTTCCAACATATTTTACTTTTTTTGTTTGGGTAGGTTTTTCCTCTAATATTTTTATTCTATTTGAGGTGTATTTCAGCAAAAACAACACTGGGAAATGGAGCATAAACAATGATGTTTATCTCATCTGTGATTTCCGATAGGCTGAACAAATCAGGTCATTTTTTTCACATTGTTCACCGGGTCATTTATGTTCCTTCCTGAAGAACCTGAAGTAAACATCAGCGTATTTGAATCAGTATGGTATTTTGACAGAAAACCACTTTTAAGTACAAAAGAGGAGTGTCTTCTTTTGAAAGCTTTCAGCCGGGTATACTGTATTGATGATAAATGGAAGGCAGTTTCTATAGGTTGTAAATCAGGCACATTCATATGTAATTTAGTGAATTTCAATGACAGAACCCCTGAATCTATTCAGTAACAGAGTTTGATCTGGTCCAGAAGTGGACTGATCTTGTGAAATACTCACTTACAGGCAAAAGCTGCAGTTTTTTCAGCATAGAGTCTTGAAAACAAGATGTTCTTTGTTTTTGCATGTGGCGGGTCAGCCTTTTTTGACATTGACAAGTTGTTGTCTTTGTACGCTAGTGCACACAGCGAAACTAACTTCCAGCAATAATGAATTCCCATAATGATAACTGGGTTACAGGGTGGATATTACATCCAGTTATTTCACAAACCATAAAAAGCATGCCCATCCCACAAGTGCTTTACAAAAATACTACTGAAATCTGTTGCACACAAAAGCATATCATTTAGT